TTAAGGGTCAAAATCCCACTTAGGAAAGAAAAGAAAGCCATCCTTTAAAAGGATTAGGTAACATAAAATTAGACAATTCAAAAATGAAAACTTTTAAACATAACAGAGAAACACAATATAAAATAAAAAGAAACTCTTGACACTCATCACCTGCATGCACTTGTGAATGCAAGTAGGGATGAATCACATCTAAACAAGACACAAATACACATACTACAAGGAAAAGGACAATTAGGTAAAAAACAACAACATATATATCCATGTTCTTTCACACATGCTCACATGAAAGAAAAAGCCAGGATGTTGTTAATACATATATTAAACAAATTACAATGCTTTAAATACATATACAAAATAAACCTAACCCTAAAAAGTGGTCAAGGCTTCATTATGCTGACCGTAATCCTGCTAGCAGATTGGCAGCCATGGGTGCCTTGAGGTCTGTTTGAGTTTTTATCAGGTTGAGCCTGGCTTTGGCTAGTCTGTCCTGCAGGTGATGGACCTCCTTCTCAGCTGATCATCTTTGCAGTTGAAGGAAGCCTATGCATCCTTCCACTTGGCTACTATCTTCTAAAAATGGTTCTGGAGAACTGGAAGCTGTCTAGCTTTGACTAGTTCATGATCACCTTATGTGGCTTGGTAGAGAGTTCTATTCTCATCTCTTTCTAGAGTGTCTCCTGTGGTCGCTTTGCTGGTGGCACCTCAGATGCTATAGCGGTGTATGTCCTACACGATCTTCCAGCAAGTCCAGCCCTTGATGTGGAAGCTTCCACATTCACTGCTGGAGCTGGCCCATGAGCTGACTTGGCTTCTATGCATAGCTGCTGACATAATCCCCACTGATGCCAGAGTTTTCTTGAGGCCTGTTCTGCTCTTGTCCTTCTGGGACTTAAACACCCCTCAGGATGTAATGGTCCCATTGAAGATACAAGCACATTTGTCATCTCCTCATTGTAGTGCCAAACCATATGATGAGACAAGTCAATGGGTCTTGTTACTCATTAGCCTTCAATTGTTTGGGTGGTATCAACAGTGGTATTGACTCTTGCTACTTCATCACTTGGAGGCTAGGCTTCTCCAGTTTGGATGGTGTTGTATCCTATGATCCAAAGCTAGGGACCTCTTTGGACTTCCCAGTGGCATCAGGTCTTTTATTAGTTGTAGCAGGTATCAGGCCCTTGAAAACATCAGCTTCAACCTGTTCACTGACTTGGCTCACTAATGATAAACATCAGTTCAGCATTCCCCATCTCCATGATTATATCATGCCCTTCACACTAGAGGATGTGTTGGGCATTCTGGAGCAGTTGGAAGACTTCAGAGGTAGAGCTGGAATCAATGGTAAATCAAGATGTTGAAGATGATTAAGGCAGCTACTCACAGGCAAAGGCAGGATTACATCACTGGCTAGTCGACCCAAAGAGACCTATCATGTCTAAAACTTGATATAAATACTGAAAGTCTAGATTTAAATGCAAAGTTGACTGAATTCCAAATGGTAAAAGATTCAGCCAAGTGCATAGGTTATAGGATGTAGAAATTTGCAGTTATTATCATGAACTCTGACTGGTCAAGTGACATGTATACAGGTTTAATGTGTACTCACACCCAACCTCACCCACAGAAAATGTGTCCACAGAGCCTGAGGACTTCCAAATTCCTGAGATTCCATGGATTTCCACTCAACCAGTTATCTTGTGACCATGCTGCCCTATGTTGTTCCTGCTGGATAATGGGAACATACACTCTCCAACCAGGCTTCATTCCTAGACCTACCATCTATATTTCACACAGACAGCATCCAGTTCCAGTAAGAAGGAATAGGGTTGAGACAGTAATGGGCAACACTAACCTCACCTCTGACCAATGGGCTTTGCCAATGTTTCCACTTCTTTCCTAAGGGACTTTCCTGACATTTACAAATTGTGTGACAGTTTTGGTGCAAATTAAAAGGTTTCATCACACAGACATTACCTTTCACCTTCCTCATTACACTTGCAGCTAGTGTTTTCATGCTTCAAAACTGTTTTCTTATTAAAAATATTTCCATCTGCATGACTTAAAAATATTCCTCTCATACATAAATAAAACAATGGGTACATCAGATATAAATATTTGTTGATATCTAAGCCATTACCTGTAAAATTCATGTACTATTAATAATTTCACTTATTCATTAATATTTCAACTGTTTGTTTGTCTGTTGTGTCCCAGCTGGTGTGATAAGCTCTGTATTGAGTGAAATGCACTGTTGGTAATAGTGGATATAGTGTGGTTGAAATACTACTATACACTCTTTTTCTTTTTGAAAAGCCCTAAGGGGTTGAATAAGGAATGTCAAAAAATATAATAAACCTAATACTACTGTCTTATGACAAGTATAATTAATTATAATCATACTTTGCCAGCTTAGAAAAAGTGTTCATACTATAACAATTGTTGTTGTAACAAATGACTTGTATAACCAAGTGTTACAACCATTACTGTCTTTGTTATATCCTAACCAACCTGATGAACTCTGTATAGAGTGAAACACAACATAGTATGGTTGAAATACTATTATACACTCTTCTTCTAGGCCTAATACTAATGTCTTATGACAAGTATAATTAATGCTATATTATTGTTGAAATTTGCATCCTGCCTATTTCCTAGATTGTAGTACTTCTCTTAATGCTATTTTTAATTTCAAGTTTATCTGAGTTTTATATATTTTTTAAAAATGTGTATTACATCTTGAAAACAAAGTACCTTAAAATATTTATAGAAATGAATCGTTTGGTGATACAAAAAAAATACCTAATGTAGCATGCCTTTGGTGATAATATCACCTTTTTGCATCCCTACAGTAAATCATATTGATCATTATTGATTTTCATATGCACATTTTCAGAGTCTTGATCTATTTAAAGCAGGCCTCAACAAATCCCAGGTGCCAAGTTGCCATGGTGACTAAACATTTCATCATGGCAACTAGTATTTTCTCTGTGTGTAAGGTTGTGCTAAACAGAACTTGAACCTAGAACAGTTATGGACTCTTGGAAGTCCGGAACTATTTTTGCATTCTTCGAGTCCTAAATTGAACCTTGTTTCTCAAATTTTAATGGCAGATTTCACACGTTTTCGTGTTTTTTTTCAGGAATGAAGCACTGCTGTCACACAACACGTTACTAATTTTTACACCATTTTGTTTTTTATTTCTCTCAATTCAATCAACAGTGTGCATGTTTAGACTCGTACGGGACCAAAGGCAGTTAGTTCAGGCAATACTATGAAGTGGTTGTTGATATTATGTGATCATTAGAATGCACTCGTTGCTGTGAAAGTAAATAAATTCACACTGCTGCCTCGATTATCTGCACTAGTCTGGGGAAAGCAAATAATCATGGATAACGAAAACAGAGGATAATTGAGGCACTAGTGTATCTCACTAGTTAGCACACTGTTTAATCTAAATAAAATTTTTCAATATATTAAAGTTCCTTTTTTTAAATTATATTCTTTTTACCGTCATTTAATTAAATTATCATGAAAAATATAAAAGTCATCTCAATCAGAATCATAAAAGCCAAGTGTCAGTCGATCAAGATCGATTTCTCCAAATTTCGTGAGTTACACAAGTCCAATTCCACTTTTTTCCTACAATACTTCCTCTTTTGATTGCCTGTTCATATTTTAGTTGAATTTAATCCCACTTATAGAGGTAAAAATATTATACGTTTCAGCAATTTTTCTGCTACAGACACAAGAGTGCATTCACACCCTACCAACATCTGCAAAAAATAAGTAAAAATTATACATATCTATGCTTTGTTAAAACAGACTGAATATACCAATTATCTGTAGGGAAGAGAACAATGCATAACTGGATGACACCCCAACACAACCTTTACATGCATCTGTGGTTAAAGGACTCCAACTGTGGAGCATAGAACAGTAGACAACAACTGAAATTGAGTGAAATCTTTAAGAAAAATTAATTTGTATTTTGTGTTTTTGTATACTATGTTTTAATCACTAATCAAATAAAGCTAACCATGCTACAAATATTTTGTATTCCTGTCTTAAGAGCTAAAATTAAAGGATACAAGGCTAATCTTGAATTGACCAACTTATGATTTGAATGCACGCCAGATCTTGCAAGCAAAACCCCCGGATATCAGGCAACAACTGAACTTTTGCAACAAAATTAATTTCTGAGCAACAATTTATCCAAAACATGTAAATTATTGCTATAATTGTAATGGCACAATTATTTTGAGAAAATTTTGGGAGAAAAACACGGATAATTAAGAAGTGGATAATCAAGGCACTAGTGTAGCCCCTCATTTCCCAGTAGAAACAGTAGTGAAGTTAGGTTAGGCACACCTGGCTCCTGAGTTTTCAGGCTGGCTCCTAGATCTGAAAATATTTGTGAAGACCTAATTTAAGGGTTTTTTTTTTTAAATAAGTTGTCCAAAAATGACTATGTTTTTGTGCTGAAGGTTAAACTGAATGTTTGAAGTTTCGCAACTCTCCTGCATGCAAAGGACTGCATCCTGCTTGCAGTGATAATTAGATTTTTATGTATTTATGCTTAAGTATATATATATATTTAGCTCTTACCTTGTAATTTTTGAGCAACTTACACAGCAAAGACAATTCCCTAAATTATACCAGCTTAGGGAAACATCAAGTTTTTTCTCAATTTTTATCAGAATGCATTTAAAAAATCAACTAATAATTCACATATCTCAATAGGCAAATTCTATTCATAAACACCTGATAGTAATATCTGCATCTTGCTAATACAGTATTTTTCTGGTGGACAATAAGAGATTCTGTGCAAATAAATATATGACTAAAGTTGCTGGAATATTTTTACCCATAAATTATTCAATTACCATTAGAAAAACAACAACAAAAAACTCATAAAATACCAAGTATCTGCAGACTTCTTATACAAGAGAAAAGGTTTAAAATAGATACAGAATAATGAGTTACAAGGGAAGATCACTTACCAGGACCATCAAATGGCATCAACACAGTTGGCACAGGGCTATAAGAAGGTAATGGCAGGATGTAAAAGTCTTTTATCATTTTAGAAGCATTTCCAACAACTCCATAACGTTTGCGAGAGTTCAGGTAAGAGTAAAATGCTCCATACGCCACTTTCTCTTCATCATTTGCAGGTTGAAACTGTATAACTATTAGTTCCTAAGAAAATAATATATATATACTGTATAAAACAAAATGAGTAACTGAAATTTGTAATATAATAATTATGACAAAGCAAATGTCACTGTTATAAAATCATATGCTGTACAAAGTATATAAAACAATCATAATTTGTACTATCATAGCTACTATAAGGAAAAATCACTATTATAAAATATTTTAAATACACAATATAATTAAGTGATAACTATAACTTGTTATATATAATAGCTATAAAAAGGCACTAAAAAACCACTTATAAAATGATGTCCAATCCCTCCCTACTTAGTTCGTTAATATGCAATTCAGGGATATTGTGGTCAGTCACTATTATAAATACAAGTTACTGACCATCCAGTCTATGCTATAGATATTGAGTTTGAAAATTTAACATTTTCAGTACCTGAAAATGTGTTTCATATAGGTACTCATCTACACAACCAACAGCTATTACCACGTGCAACTGTTTGCCACTTTATCATGCTTATAAATCATTGTTTGCTTTTTCCAGCTTATTATTATTATATTAGCATAATCTGCTTCCTTACTCAAGTATTCACACTGAAGTTTAACTGATATAAACTGGTGTAAAAAGAATATTACTTCATTGGTAGTTGGTTTGTTGGACATCTTAACACCATTACATTTTTATGCATGCACCAATCCTTGAATAATATTCCCACCACTGAATGTATCACTGTGTACAGTACAAGTCTATAATACAATCAGCAATTAGACTATAGCCCTCCACCAATAGGAGGGCAACACATCCTCTATGTGCAGTATACCCTATGAGCACCTTGTATATTAACCCTCTAGGTATGAGTGTGTCAAAGTGTGCATGTTGGGATCTTTTTTTTATTTATTATCATTACAGAGTCACATTCAGAATATAATTCAACTACTTTATTATCAATGTATGTCAGGTAATTTGTCATTATAATCAGATTTTGTAATGATGAATTTTTATAAAATACTTGTCCATGAATATATGGAATCAGTATGTTAACTGCTCCAAGTGCAAAGTGATTTTCATGTTAAGATTAAAAATACTATTCTTCATTTAAAAATTGTCAAATTTCATTGGAGTAATCTCTGAAACCTCCTAAATAAACATTACTCTTTTTTCAGTTAAACTATACATTTTATCTGTTATTTTCTCTACCCTAAGTCTATATGTGTTTGGTCAGTTTGACTGACCTCCTAACCACCATAAAAGATATGAAATAAATCTAAATTACCCTTTTTTTCTAGAATAACTTCAAATTTTAACAATCGTTTATTAACACTTTCAATATAGGCTTGGTCAATTTGATTGACCATGTGACCTTTTGTACTCATTTAAAGTCTTCATAGATTTAATACTTATAACTCTCAATATAGTGGGTACATCTTCATGAAATTTGGCAGTCTTTCAGTTAATATTACAAGTCTTTCACATACAAAAACTCATATATTTTAGTGAAGATTTTTAATAAAATAAAATAGAGATTTGTCCATTAACATATTTAGTATTTGTTTTGAAAAGTCCATGTGCAAAGTAATTTTCATGATAAAATTAAAAATACTTTTCTTCATCTTAAAAATCTCAAATTTCCTTTGTGTAATCCCTGAAACCTCCTAAATACATTTCAAATGTTTGTTTTCAGTAACCGACCTCGTAACCATAAAAAAATCTAAATTACTCTTTTTTTATTTCTAGAATGACTTCAAATTGTAACACTAACTACATTTGTTTATCCTATGTAGCATTAAGCTGGTAACACTATACATATATCTATAATTAAATTTTATTGTTTTATTGTCCTTTGAACGTGTCTAACTACTATTTGCACCAGTTGTAAATCACTCAGGGAACGTGCAGCTCACGAAACCATTTTAATTATATTATTATTATTACTTATTTTACCTAATCTAGTCGTAAATAATCTAAATAATAATAAAAATAATAAATAAATATGAAAAACAAGACATAAAGTGCTTACCTAATCTTTTTTCTTGCTGTTGGGTTTTGAAGAGAGTTAACCCTAATTTTTTATGCTACAGAGAGTGATGCACTTAATAATTTTTATCTAATTAAATAATGCACCAAACAATATAGACTAATAACATGCAAAAAATACACAAATTCACTTTCCTCTGAAACTTTTCCTGGCTTTCTAACTATGCGACAAGAGCCACTACAAATTCATCCAAACTAGTCGTTAACTTTCGCATGGGAACAAATCTTGTACTGCGAGTGAAATTGACAATATTCTGTTCAGAATATAACGTTATACAATACCTCATTTAGTAGATAAAAACCTTGACTTTCTATTGGTTATAGGTAATATATAATTAAAATGTAAGAGAGAACTACCAACGAGTTGTGAAAGAGAGGATGTGACAGGTGGGGTTTGATTTTCTAATCGATAGCTCTGTAACGAAACGAAATTTTAGACTATAAAAAATATGGTTTGTCTGAGCAATAACGATTTTATAGAGAGTAATTCACGTTTAATTTCATACATTTATGAAGGATGATGGATAAAATAAGGATGATGACATGATAAGACAAAATATTTCATGTGGGTCACACTAGTGGAAATTCAGGATTTTTAAAAATATTCCCTTGTAGAATTAAGAACTTAAAATTTGTATACTATTACAATATGTATTATTAGCTAAGAGTTTATGCTATTCTAATTGGTATAACATAAACAAAAAGTAGTATAATAAAATTTTGAATGTAAAACACTAAATCCTTATGTCATGCACAGTAAAGGATACCCAGGGTGATAGGGCTAAGTTACTTAAAGAACTTAACAGTATACATCAGTTTGTAGTTAATTATATTACTGCCATTTGAACCATGTCTAACTAATAATCTCACCACACAAGTTGTAAATCACTCAGCAAACGTATAGTTTATATTAACGAATTAAATGATATAGCACTAGCTACTCGCAAGCATACCCTGTGAAGAACTTTTTTTCATTATCTTACCTAAACTTACCTAACCTAATAAGTTTCTAATTTTTACATTTTGGTTACTTTTATAATAATAGATAAAGAATACACATAATAAAACAAGAAATATAGTACTTATCTAGGTCCTCTTGTTTTTTGTCCTGTATTGTTGATGAATCTTAAGCCTTTTTTTTATACCAATGATACTACTATACGAAATTTGTATTTAATTAAATAACGCTACTAAAAATACAAAATGATAGCATGTACTACAAACAATGTTCTTTAAGTATCATAATTTATCCAGCTTTTTAACTATGGGAGCTTTTAAAAATTCAATTAAGCTTGTTTATGGGCCATAAGAGCTTTCAAACTGAAGGTGAAACAGACAATTTTCTGTACAAAAAAAAACAATGTAATATAATAAGACATTTGATAAATTAAAACTCTGGCTTTCTAGTGATTATAAATAATATTGTATAAAATACCAAAGAGAACTATTTGCAATTTGTGAAAGAGAAGATGTGACAGGTGGGTGTGGCAAGTGGGTCTGATTTTCTTGTTTATAGCTCCATAAACAAATAACATTGAAGGCAATAAAAATTATGCTTTGCATGAGTGATGACAACATTATAATGAGTAATTTACATCAAATTCCATACTTCTCAAAGGAGTGGTAATTTAATCAGAGAAAAGGGAAGATCTAGAGAACAAATGTCATAATTCTCATATTATGGGAGACATGAGGACTTTTTAAAATATTTCCTTACAAAATTTAGAGCTTAAATTTATATAATATCAAAATTTGATTTATTAACTATGTTTTGAGCCAAGGTTATTATTATTATTATACAATGATAATAAAGTAGTTCTAATTAAATTTTGAATGTAACTCACTAAAAAGTCATGACAATATTTTCAGATACATGCACAAAACTTTTAGTTTCTAACCATATACTGCAGTAAACTCATATTTCTGACATCTATAAACACCTTGTCACATTAATGAAACATTTAGTGTATTATGTTTGCACGTGCTTTCAAATTCATATACAGCAGTGTTGAAATCTTTAAATTAATGTGACTATATATATTTATCAATTGACCAAGTTACCAAAAATATTTGATATATGGTTTTATAAGTTTAACCTGGCATCACCAGGTACAATAACTATAATGAGTGAGTTTGTTATCTAAGTAACATGAAAAAAATAGCAGATAGATACATTGGTATTTGATTACTTGAGCTTAAAAAGACCTCAGAACATAAAAAGAATGTTAAAAATGGTCAATCTGTTTGTTTCTTATTAACCACATAGCTACACATGATTTTTAGCAGTATAAGTTCGTAGACTTACAGCTATTTTGCTATACATGAGGAATCTTGATCATGAAAACAACTTAGAATCAACCAAAGTAATATATTAAACTAGAAATTATGTCAAAAGAAAAACTGTGGAAGGTTCATTATTCAAAGATTGCCAAGATGAACTCCTTCCTGATATCATGTGTCTTCAGGGACTTGAAACTTTGGTTATAAAGTAAACAGTGTATGTGTTTCTCTCAACAAAAAAATTGCTGAACATGTAAAACTGTTGAAAATTGTATTTAAATCAATTTGGAGTTATTTTAAAAAAGTGGACAAAAACATGTTCTTATAATTCTTAAGAAAATGTAGAATAAAACAAACGATCCTTGTCCAAGCTGTAGTAAGCATCGTGATATTGTGTGCTATAGGCAATGCTTAATGATGTGTATTCTTTTTCTTTTTATAATGAATTAAAACAAAATTACTGAGAAAATGTTAAATAATTACTGTAGTTATTTTTACTAATGAAATGAATAAATATAAGTACAAATATTAAATAAAAACATTCAACTTAGAATATGAAGAAATACAACTAAAACATCCACCTGTTTAACTTAAACTGAAAAGATAATGAGAAACTGATAGGCACCAATTACCTGTCTTTGTGGGAATGACAAGATGGGAGTAAAACCCCAAAGTGGTTCAACCTAGGCATTCATAACCTGGAAAGAAGATACAGTCT